TTCTTTATTCAATGGTTATACTATCATGTCATTATAGATTTTGGTGCTCAGCTGTCTCAGAATTGGCTGGTGGAAACTCCTTAAAGCTGGCTTTTGTGACATTTTAATATGTGCCATGAAAAAGGACATACTAGTATGAAAGAGAGGACATTACTACCAACCCTACAAAATAAAAAGGATTATAAAAGGGCTACTATGAGGAACTATAACAAATTAAATAACCTAGATGAAATGAACAAATTCCTAGAAAGACACAACTACCAGACAAACTGACTTTAGACAAAACAGAAAATCTGAGCGGACCTGTAACAAGTAAAGAGATTGAGCTAGTAATAAAAAATTTCCCTCAAAAACACACTTGGGGTGGGGAGAACAGCCCAGGGTCAGGGCTTCGTTGGTGAATTCTATGAGAAATTTAAAGATGAATTAACACCAGTCTTTCACAAACCCTAGGAAAAAAAATGGAAAAGGAAGACACACGTCCTCCATTCCATGAGGACAGTATTATCCTGACACCCAAATCAGACAAAGACATAACAGGAAAAAAACCTCCAGAACAATATCCCATACAAATACAGATGGAAAATTCTTCCATAAAATGCTAGCAACCGAAATCCAGCAGCATATATAAAAGATTATTCACTATGATAAAGTGGGATTTATCCAGGAATGCAAGGTTCTTTGAACATATGAAAATCAATGTAATATACCTTATTAGTAGAATAAAGGGAAAAAAACACATAATCATCTCCATAGATGCAGAAAAACATTTTAAGAAAATGTCCTTCCATCATAAAAACACTCAACAATCTAGGAAAAGAAAGGAGTTTCCTCAACCTCTTAAAGGACATTTATGAAAAACCCACAGGGGCCAGGGAGTGGCCTATGTCTATAATCCTAGCACTTTCAGAGGCCAAGGCAGGATTGCCCAGTCTCTTTAAAAAACAAAAAAACTGAAAACCAAAACACAAAACCGCAGCTAACATCATTTTTTAAAATTAATTAAAACATTTCTTTCTTAGAGATAGGGTTCTAGGGTCTTGCTCAGGCTAGAGTGCAGTGGCATCATCACAGCTCACTGCAACCTCAAACTCCTGGGCTCAAGTGATCTTCCTAGCTTAGCCACCTGAGTAGCTGGGACTACAGGCCTACGCCACCACACCTGGCTAATTTTTATAATTTTTGTATAGAAAGGGTCTTGCTATATTGCCCAGGCTGGTCTCGAACTCCTGGCCTTAGCTGATCCTCCTACTTCAGCCTCCCAAAGTGTTGGAGTTATAGGTGTGAGCCACTGTGCCCAGCCTTACATCATTCTTAATAATGAAAGACTGAAAGTTTTCCCCTTAAGATCAGGAACAAGACAAGATGTGCACTATTGCCATTTCTATTCATCATTGTAGTAGAGGTTCAAGCCTGGGTAATTAGGTGAGAAGATAAAAGACAACCGTATTGGAAAGGAAGTAAAAGTATCTCTATTTACAGATGACATGACCTTATATACAGGAAGCCCAGAAAAATCTACATGCACAAGAAATGCCTATTAGAGCTAACAAATGAGTTTAGCAAGGTTGCAGGATACACAATCAATATAAAAAGATCAGTTGTAATTTTTGTTTTTCTTTTGATCCATTGTATTTATATACACTAGGAAAGAATTAAAAAAATCCCTGCCTCACATCATATATAAAAATTAACTTAAAATGGGTCAAATATCTTTCCTAACATAAGAGCTAAACTATAAAACTCTTAGAAGAAAACACAGGGATACATCTGCATGACTCTGGAATAGGCAATGGTTCTCACATATAACATCTAAAGCACAGCAACCAAAGGAAAAATACGATGGACTTCATCAAAATTGAAAAGGACACTAAGCTGGGCGTGGTGGCATATGCCTGTAATCCCAGCTACTTGGGAGGCTGAGGCAGGAGGATCACTTGAGCCTGGGAGTTAGAGGCTGCAGTGAGCTGTGATCATACCACTGTACTCCACTCTGGGCGACAGAATGAGGCCCTGTCTCCCTCCCCAGGGCCCCCAAAAAAGTTATTTGTGAAAAAAATCATTAAAAAAATCTTTTGCACAACATCCACAGATGGAGTTTTCTCCATGTGCCATGCTTTGATGGTCTCGACGAATAGCAGGGCTAAGACAGCCTGCCAGGGAGGTTTAGGAATATGGAATTTACTTGGTTTTGAGTTCAGATGTCGGGCTTTGTTTTTAAAAAAGTAAATCACCAATCCTAGCAGCTGAGCTGCCAAAAACACTGCAAAAGACCAAAAACAACCACAAAAAGCATGTTTCTCCTTTTCTCTTCCTCAAACCTAATCAGGATAATTAGAATATATTCCAGTGTAAGAGCTCATAAGGCAATAGTTTCAATAACCCAATATTTAGCCAAAGGCCACGACTAGACTTATCCCTCTTCCATGTGATCTGAATCCATTGTTCTACCCAGTATTATTCCAAACATTCTGGAACTTGATATTGTATTGGCTCCCAACCCCCAAACACTTTTTAGTACTCCACCTAGAGTGCAGACAGACACCCCCATGCTCAGGAAGGGCTCACTGTGTCCCTGGGCCAGGGGGTTCGTTTGTCTGACTGACTTGACGCTCAGAAGCAGGGAGCGGCAGAGCTGTGAAAAAACACACGAACAGGTCAAATGAAAGTTAGGCTTCAAATCTGGCAGGTAAGTAACTTGTGTCATCAGGTGTAGAATCCAGTTCTGATTACAGTTAGTGTTCTGTCTTAATAAATTATTCCAAACAAAACTTCTTTTAGTTAAAAAAGGCACTAAAAATTACTTTAGTATATCAGCTTTAAGCATTAGAGCCTCTTCCCCCAAAACAGCCATTGATATTGTTTAATAAAATAAAATGCAAAAGAATTCAGGAATAAAATCTGGGCAGCTCACAACACAGTGGAAGGAAATGGTATGTAGGTGACGGTTACAAAAATTTCAGAACCCAGTGTCTCTCACTAAAAGACAAACTACCAAATACAAAAACACAGAAAAGAAACTTAAGTTTTGGAAAAGGTAGGCTTTTAATAACTGCTTTTATCACCAGGTTAAGTCATGCAGTTACAAAGTAGTTAGAAATTTCTGAAAGGGCATTATAGTTAAAAAAAAAAAAACAAAACAAGCTCATTCTTACACATACAGTATCTAGCACTTCATTGGGACGCTACTGTTCAAAAGGCCCTGGCCAGATAGCTCCCAAACAGAACACTCAACCCAAGGCTGTGTTCAGCCCCATGTTAACACAGCTGGGTGCGGAATGCAAAGCCTCTAGAAGGAGGGACGCAGGTCAGGCGGAAGGGGCCACTGGCATCGCTCAGAGCCAGCCAGACTCCAAACTGGGAGCCTAAGTGGTTTTTTTTCTCTTCCTGGGACATTCTACTTGAATTACTGTTCAATTAGTCAACACAATAGATCTTCAAAAGAGAACAGTCAATTAGCATGGTAAGGAGGTTACTGCATTCTTTGGACTATGTGTCATAATTATAGTTAGCAAATTCTGACAGTCTTAACAAAAATAGCCTCCATCACTTGCAGGTATGAAGATAACTTAATTCTTCATAGGGCTTTTTGTTTTTGTTGGATGACAATATATGACTGACAACTATAAATGATAGTGTTTTATGATATAAAAATACTAGCTTTTTTCATTTATTATGTTTACAGGCATTCACTGCTTGAGTCAAGGTTAGACTTGTTAAGTGATTAAAGGCAATTTTATTACAGCAGCATGTACTTATTTTATTCTAAAATAATAAAATGCATAAACAGAAATAGCTTTTATTTTTATTTGCGATCTGTAAAATTGAGTTATTTTGCTGATGTAAAATACCAATAACTCACTTGAGGACCATGCCGACTTCTGAAAATGCCACACACCTACTTCTTAAATGTGTTAAAGTTACAGCATGTCCCAGACTTGTCCAGAGCAAAAGAAGCGACTGCTCTTGACCATGCCTTCCCCGGCGACAGCACTGTATTGGGAAAAGCCAGAGTGAGAATTTTTATTTAAAGGCAAAACACCTAAAATGGCTCTCTGTAGGTGGTATCTACTTTCACACTCATCAGATTGTACATGATCCCCTACCCTTAATTTCTTTCTTCTAAGGGGCTGATTTGGTTTGACCTGTTGAGAATGGTGTCCATTATCTAATGAGTCAGGAGAGAAAGGGATTTTTGTGGTTACATGTAAACTTGTGATAGGTCTGCAGAAGTTACAGGGGAAGAGGGTAGTGAGAAGTCAGCCACGATCCACCTATGTGAAGGTCACACCAGCTTCATTGTACACTCTGAAGACTTTCTCAATGGCATTGACATAGGCAGCTGTTCTCAGGTCCAATCCCAGATTATACTTCATGGCTGTGCGCATAATTTGCTGAAATGAAAGAGAAAGTGCAGTGAAGACCACCCCAACTCAAGTAGCTGGGCCATGAACACACAAGGCCCAGACTGGCCTGGTATAAATTACCCTGTTATCATTTCAGGGCAGGATGTAGGCAGCCAAAGCCAAACTACTTTGGCAGTAGAACAATCTCTAGGCAGGAAGGACTAATTCTCTGGAATTAATAAAAATAATTATAGGCAGTAAGAAATCACACTTTAGACATCCTGTTATCTGGAACAAGTTCATTTGATATACTTTATGATTGTTTAAAAGAACTAACAACAGGCCAGGCACTGTAGCTCATGCCTATAATCCTAGCATTTTGGGAGGCCGAGGCAGGAGAATTGCTTGAGGCCAGGAGTTTGAGACCAGCCTGACAAGAGCGAGACTTCTGTCTCTATTAAAAATAGAAAAAATTAGCCAGGCATGGTGGCACATGCTTGGAGTCCCAGCTACTAGGGAGGCTGAGGCAGGAAGATCACTAGAGCCCAGGAGTTTGAGGTTGCAGTGAGCTACGATGATGCCAGGCAACAGAGTGAGACCCTATGTCAAAAAAAAAAAAAAAGACTAACAATGGGATGAGGAAAACTAGAATTACATAGCAGTGACGGCCACACAGCCTAGTGAGTACTGAAGGCTGAACTGTATACTTTAGAAGGATGAATTTATAGTATATCAATTATCTCAATAAAAATTTAACAAAAACATCACTAAGAAGCATCACCTTCTTTATCGATATCTGTTTATGTTATTTCAACTTAAATCAAAGTGGATAAAATCTGAACTCAAGAAGAAATTGGGAAAAATGGTCTCAAACTGTGTTTAAGACTTTTAAACTAGGAATCAGGAGTCAAAATAACTTTGACTTACAGCCTCCTACAGCTATACTCTAGTGGCGCACTGGGCTGCAATACAGTTCGGCTGACTACTCCACGTCTGGCTAACTGCCAAACATCATTCCCTCCTAACTTGGCATTGTTATTTACTTCCAAAGCCTGGTAAACGTATTTTAAGACTCTGAGAAAACTGCTGATCATTCGCGACTGACAAGGCATGTGTTTTGCTACACGCAAGTGAGGACCATTTCCCAGATTCCTATTTTCTGTCAGCACACAGAGTTTGGCAGCTAGGATAACACAGTTGAGTTGTATTTCATGTGACTTCCAGAAACAAACAGCATCTGCACACGTACCCTGGCGGAACGCTCCATTGTGTACGCCAAGCCAGAGTGCACGATGTCTTTCTCAGAGGCACCCTATTAGGAAAAAGAACACGAGTTTAACAAAACCACACAAAGACATGCTGTGTCTCTATGTAAGATTACGAAGGATTCTTAAGTCAATAAACAACCAGACAGAAGTGTTTTATCTTTCAGTAAAGATATATGTAATTTCTATACAGTATCAAGATACAGTATCTTGATATTTATTGAGGTAGTTGCACTTTAACCACGATTTAATTTTAATTATATTTGACAAAAAACAGATACTCATGAAATAACATTATGGTAAAACAATGAACATAGAAAAGTATAGACCAAGAAACACGAGGGCAAGTAGTGAGATCAGCACCCTTCACTGGTCTGATACACGGACGTGCTGAAGCAACATGGTACACTGTCCACCTCATAGTGCAGTCCCTGTGAACAGGGACCCCACACAGGGGAATCTAGCTAAATACACTAGTGGCTCTGGGGTAGAATCTTGCCTGTGTGTTTGGCGGTACCGCCAACTTTTAAAGCTACATGATCTTAGCAGCTCTTTGATTCCACTGGTGAGGAAACTGAGGATGAGAGGCTGGCCAAGGTTACAGACAGCTACTCTTAGAGCTGGGATATAATCCAGGGCTTGGCCTCCAACACCAAGTAAGCTTATCTCTTTCCTATGCTAATTACCTTCATCTAATTTGTTTCTTGAAATGCTTTCTAAAAATTAAGGACAATTAACTATCACTAGCACTCCTAATAATGTGACATACAGAGCTACAAAACACATATCCTGAAATGTCAGATAAAAACTTAAAGTGAGTCACCAATAAAAGTTATGAAAGTTATAAAAGCAATGAAAGTTATCTGCAGTGAACGTCATTCAATTCACATTGTGTTCATTTAAAAAAGTCTATTTCTATAACATTTACACTAATCAAGAAACATTTGAAAGCCGGGTGTGGTGGCATGTGCCCGTAACCCTAGCTACCCTGGAGCTGAGGTGGGAGGATTAGGAATAGGAAACAAACTTGTTTTGCAGGCAGAATACTGTGGTTTTCTTTCATTTATGCATTTACCAAACATTTATTGAGTACATACTACACTCTTCCAGGTACTGGAGACACTGCAAAAAACAAAATTAAAATTCTGTTCTCATAGTGTTTATATTTTAGTGCAAGGAGAGTGCACATACATGGACTTAAATCATGAAGCTAAGCAGATCACTGAAGTTTTTTTTTTTTTTTGAGACAGAGTCTCACTGTGTTGCCCGGGCTAGAGTGAGTGCCATGGTGTCATCCGAGCTCACAGCAACCTCAAACTCCTGGGCTCAAGCGATCCTCCTGCCTCAGCCTCCCGAGTAGCTGGGACTACAGGCATGCGCCACCATGCCTGGCTAATTTTTTCTATATATTTTTAGTTGTCTGATTAATTTCTTTCTATTTTTAGTAGAGACGGGGTCTCGCTCTTCAGGCTGGTTTCGAACTCCTGAGCTCAAACAATCCTCTCGCCTCGGCCTCCCAGAGTGATAGGATTACAGGTGTGAGCCACCGCGCCCGGCCTCACTGAAGCTTTGAAACAAGACAGAGAGTGGTTCAGAGACTGAGGCCTTCCAATGGTTAAGAGGATGGAGAGTTGAAAAGGGACCAGCAAAAGCCAACGAGAAGAAATGGCCAGTGAGTGACGTAGGAAGAAAACCAGGAGAATGTGGTGTCCTGAAAGCTAAGAGAAGAAAATATTTCAAGAAGGGAGTGACCAATTCTGATAAGAGCTGCTAACAGGTCAAATAAAAGTAGGACTGAAAAATGACCCTTGGATGTGGCAATGCTGATGTCACCAGCTATCTTGACAAGAATGGTTTTGGTGGAGCAGGTTCAAGCAGAGAAGAAATGGAGACAGAGTATATACAACAACTCCTTCAAGGAGGTTTGCTGCAAGGGAAACAGAAATGGCAATAATAGGAAGGGGAAGTGGGATTAAGATTTGTATTTAAAAAAAAACGGTATTTGGTCCACTGAGAGGAATGACACAGTAGAGGGACAATGATGGTGCAGGAGAGAGAGGGAAAGACTTGCTAGCGCAGTGTATCTGCAAAGGTGAGGACCAGCCAGCCATGCTCAGAGCTGGGCTCAGATGGAAGCACAAGGAGCTGATCTACAAGAGCACAGATGACACGGGCCAGGGTGTGGATACCAGGGGCTGGGGAGAGGTGATGTTCTCAGACTGCTTCAATTTTCTCTGTGAATAAATACCCGGGTCATGAGCTGGTGTGCAGGGGAGGAGAAAATATCACTCAGGATGGGGAGAATGCAACATGGAAAAGCAGCATGACTGTCGGGCAGTGGGAACCCACTTGAGGTTAATGGTGAGAACGTGAGCTGTCAGCAGGGCCACCAGCTACAGGGGCACAGGCATGGCAGAGGCAGAGAGCTGGGATCTAACCAGGGTTTAGGTTTTAACAAGGGGTATGATGAAGCACATCGAGACCACGGAGTGGCTGTAATGATGGCGCATGGAATTTAAGTTAGATAAGGAGAGAAGTGAGGGCGTCGGGGGGATGAGGATCGGGTCAATTATGTAGGTCCTAGTAGGGCCAAAGCAGGGTAGGTAGGATAGGCAGGAACTAGAGGGAGAGAGCTGGAAAACACTGGTTTTTCAGTTAACACTTGTAAGACTGTTTGTAATAAGTAATTCTGTATGAGGTGAGAAATAGCACAGAAGCCTAAAATTAGAAGCACCAAAAGCATTCGAAAGCTGGGAGACCAATTATCTTTTAAAAAGGATAAAAAGTTATTCATAGCTATCTTCCTAACTAGCTGCCTGTCCTCTTTCTGTGCTCCCTCGGGGTTCCATCTGAGTGAGGGCCATGTTTCCAGCACACGCTGCGCAGGGCGCAACCCCAGGGAGGGCAAGCAGCCCTCTACTGGTGGCAGCGGCAAGCCCTTCCAGTGCCCTGCACATCACCTGTGACGGAAGGGAAGTATATACATAACTCTGGCACACAGATGGGACTTTCAGAGAAAGCCACATAGCTGCAGTGACAACTAAGCAGGCAGGGGGCCAGAGCATTCCAGAAAGGACCAGAACTAACAGAGATGTGGCTCTGGGAAAGAGGAAGGTTTACTGAGGGCAGCAGTTAGTATCCAGACTGGCTAGAGCATCTTTCCTCCTTCAAACCAAAACATTTAACTTTTTCCCATGTTACAATAATATAAAATTATTTTCATGGCTGAATATTTAATAAGAAGATATAACTTAGCCATTTCTCTGTCATCAGACTATTAAATCAAACCTAAGTTAAAAACCGACTGCAAATAGTTCCAATGACATCGTGATGTATGGAGTCATTCCTCTTCTTTTGAATTATTTTCTTAGGACAAATTCCCAGAGAGAAGATTTTCATAGCACCAAAGGGCAGGAACACTTTAATAACTATTCACATTTTTCAAAGAGCTACACCAATCTGCACTGTCATCAAAACAAAGGTACAACTGTTTTACCACACACCATATTTACCCACGAATTGTTTTTGTTAATTTAATACATAAAATACCTTTTCTAATCTGTTTTCTTTAACTCTCATGTCCATATAGCAATTTCAAATTTTCGTATAGTTGTCTAACGCATACTTTTAAATTATTTCCATTTCTTTGAAGCTTACAAGAATTCAAATACATAATAATCCTTCATGATTATATCAGAATCACTGTTAAGACATTTGTATTGTAAAAAGTACCAAAAACAGAACTATTATTTATTTTATATTTGTTTTAGTCACTTAGGATTCTTACCACATTTTAAAAACGTAATGACGGGAAGGGACAAAACACACGCATCACACAATTATGGTCACGCTGACTGCCACCCCTCAACTCAATCAATCTACCTGGCTCTGTCTGCAGGAAAGAACAGGAAGCGTGTGTAGGGCACAACTCTGGGGTCCCCACACTCACCGATATCCTGTCTTGGAACTCTGCTGTGGGCACGATGGGAATAGTTCCACCGTGCTTTCCAAATTTTCTTTCTAAACTCTCTTGAACGGACACTATAAAAAAAAGAAGAACCAAAAGTAGTCTCAAACTATATCCACAACCCAAAAACTAACACAGAGTTTGAGAAATCTTCAACACTAATGACGTAAAAGAGTTGATCATTTAAAACTCAGTTAAAAAGGAATAAAACACTTTGCCAATTTTCTATATAAATGTGAATTTAGGTCACTGCTCTGTTTCCATAACACCCATTACCAGGGTTTTTCCTTGGCTCTAGTAAAAAGAAAATGCTGAGGGAAAAAGAAATGGAAATAGATGGAACATTTCACCCAGATGTCCAGAGTGGGCTGAGTACAGAAGCTCAGCTGGAGGTCTTGGTTTTATTTCAGCTTGACGAGAGATTCTGCTATTAACTGTGGAGCTTACTCTAGTCACAGAAAAATAAGTATTCTCATCAGCAGACTCAAAAAATTCTTGACACTAGATAGGCCTTTGCCAAGAGCAACCAGAGACAGGAATGGATGAGTATCGTAGTGGAGTTCATGTTTTAAAATCACACTTTTTATAATAGTACTAACTTGTAGATTATGTTCTGGGAACATTCCATCACAGAATAAAAATCCAAATATAAGTATATTTGAGAGTTATTGAGTATCTGTAAAGAAATTGTATATTTCTGGCCTAAGCCTCATGAGGCAATGTAATAAATTTTCTGTTCTGAGACTAAATTCTCTAGGATTACCAAAGGGACAAGTTCTCTTAAGTTAGCTTTTTCCAGCCTTTTAGCTGGCCCAAAAGATTAGTTTTAGAGAATAAAATTATTGGCACTCACTCAGCAAGTGGTAATTAGAATCCCTTTCATATTTGAAGGTCAAACGGCCATAGCTGACATGATTTAGATTCTTCAGCCACTCAAAGTAAGATACTGTCACTCCTCCAGCATTCAAGTAGAGATCCTATACACAAGAATGTGACAAGAAGACACCGAAGAAATTAGAAGATGATGGTTTTAGTAAAACCTTAAAATGAACCTAAGTACTCAACTTTGATACCAAGGTATTGAAATTACACTTTAAACTTCCCAAATATAGAATTTCACACTTAATTTAACAGAACCCCTACCCAACCCACCTAAGGATTTTTCCATTCAGGAAAAAATAAATCATTTATTTGGCTTATTAATCAAGTAAGTATATGATCAACTTTGGTGAGAGCCTCTTCTTCACCAAAAGTTCTCAGACTAAATTGCTTGCCCACCAACCACTGGATTAGACCGACTATAGGGCATCTCGCCAGAAGGTTAGCATTCCCTCTCCCTCTATCCCAGGGCAGCCTATTTTAGTTACACTAAACACCTTAAGGGCTTTTGGCAAAGTGTGTGTGGGGGTCTTCAAAATGCATTCTGAGCCCACACTAACTTCCAATAACCT